GGTTAAATGACTGAAAAGTGTCCTTTTCAGAACTTCAAGCAAACTGCCATTTCTTTCAATATGACCTCTCTATCAAAAGCTTTTCCAAAGTTCATAAAATTCACATAGAGCTTCCACTCAGAGGGGAACTCCTTGAGGATTCTGAAGTCAGCCCTGTGATAAATTCAAGCCCATCTTTCTCAAAATCAGATCGCTCAATTCCAAATTAGATGTTTGCTAATTCCATTATCTAACAATATTCTTGATAGGAATCAGGCAGTATAGAAATGTCACGTTCCAGACCCTTCCTCATGTCTCCAGCTCTTAGGCTTTGAAATACCTAATTTCTGCAAAGATTGAAACAAAAGATCTTTCTACTCCTGTGAGGGGAGGGACATCTTCCTCTTCCCAGATTATACCTAAAATTCATTCATTTTGGTGTAGACTACTACTCACTTTGATGAAGGATTAAAACACTATTTATAGTAGGTGCTTAAAACCGGGCTTCCTGAACCCGTGGAAAACAAATGCGCCAGATTTTATTCTTTTGTTCTTTTAATAAACTGTCCGTGAGATTCTTCCCCTCCCCTCCTTTCCTGCTGGTTTACTTGCATTCTTATATGTTCAGTGTTTTGCTCTTCTGTCTTTGTTCCAGTTTATCAGCAATTTACACACAGTTGTTTCCCAGACTCCATGATTTGGACAGCAAAAATAACACTGACCTTTTGAGCCCATGAGCAATCGTGTTGGTGGTAATTTAGCAGAAAGTTACAGTAATGAACAAGAACTCTGCTCTTAAATGTTAGATCACTAAATGTGTTTTATGAGTCTTTATTACTTCTTTAATGCACTTCCTGTGCACCAGGGAGACAGCCATATTCTGGGGGAAGATGAGGTTTTTAATTGGCAAAGTAGCCAATTTACAAATCTCCTCTGCTTTAAGGATACATTTTCAGGTGTGATTCAGTCAAAGCAGTCAAGGAAAATGTTTCTAGCTAGAAAGACAACAGCACTAACAACAGAAGGGATCTTCCAAAGATATATTAACTCTGAAAACTGTGAGCTGGGCTTTTCCTGTGGGAGGGAGGGGAGAGTGCTAAAAACTTAGATTTCACTGCCCGGATTTGGGGCTGCCTGGGGACTGCTTTGGTCCCAGGCATGCCTGAGAGCAGACAAAATGTATTGTCAACAATAAACTTCCTCAGTTTTCAGCCACTTCCCCTCACCCAGCCTTCAGAACAGCAGGAAGCCAAAGCAGAGGACACAAAGCCAGCTGGATGAGGTTTGGGATTTGGCTCTGCTGCTCTATAGGTGATTGTACCTGTGGCTGTTGCAGAGTTCACAGTCAAGACAGGTAATCTAAATGCAGGCTGGAATTCTCCATCCATATCAAAATCCTCAACTTCACTTTGGCTTAAGTTTACATACAGATCCATTTCTAAAACTGCTAACAGTGCTTGTAAGGATTTAAGTAGAATTAGGAAGAGAGCTTTGTAAAAAAACCAAACCCCAAAAGCCCCACCAGAGTTAAGTGTTATTAGCGAGAGGTTGTGGTACAAAGGAGTGATTTTAAAACAGAATTTTGGTTTTCCTTCACCACAGCACCCTTAAACCAAAGCAGAGAGACAGGAAGGTTACCAACTCCCTTCTTTTAGCTGTGTGTTAAGGAGCCTGAAGCTTGTGTTTTATCTTCTCTCTGTATTTTAGAACTTCTCCTCTCCTACACTTCTATTATGCTAATTCCCCTTCACTGCCTGTCTCTTAAATTTGAAATGTTTTGAATCAGGTGTGTTTCGAGATAATTGTGTTATATTTCCACATGAAGCAAGGGAATTTGTACTGGAGGTGAAGCAATGTAAAGACCTGATTGCACTAGAATTCAGTACTTTATTTTGTGGCCACTGCAAGAGGACATTGTAGAAGATAATTTTAAAGGGTATTGCAGCATTACAAAAGCAAGCTTAGCCAAAGCACCAACATCATGTGCCCTTGCAGGACACATCTGTGTTCACCCAAATCCCTTGCTAGGGGTCAGTGACCAGCAGCATGACACTGGGGATATCTGAGGAGGTCCTGGATTAGGGACATGAGTTATTAATTGATTTAGCTGCTCTGGGGAACTCTGTGGGACCAATTTCAAGGACTGACATGCAAAGAGTCAGAAACATGATTCACATGATGAGAGTAGCAGGGTTTGTAAGAAGCTGGGTGTTTCAGAGGGAGCACATGTACTGCTACTGCCTCAGGAAGGACAGACAGAAATGGTGCCTCTAATGCTCCCTATGAGCACTGCTTTGTGATGCTGTTCAGCCTTTCCTCCTATCTTGGGCTACAGCAGAAAGACTGTTTGTTTGTTTAAATCTTTTCTTGGGTCTTTCCCAATTTTAGCCTGAACTCCAGATATTTGGCTCTTAAATTAATTCTCCAGGGTGCTTCTGACTAATGCCAGGGTGCTATTGTGGGGTTTTGCAGGTACTCTTGGGAACAGTTGCAGCACAGAGCTGTGGACCAGCACTACCAAAGCCCAAGTTTAGCTCTGTGATGGTGTCTGTGTAATGCAGGGTTTCAGCACAGAAACACATGAAAACTCTTTCTGTACAGACTGCACTGTGTGGTCTTGACTTCTCGACTTTATGGACCACCCTGCCTGAGGGCAATGGAGATGAAAAGCATGTGCACTTCAGAACTGTTTTGCAGGAATTTCCCCTCGTTTTGAAGTGCTTTTGTTCCATAAAATACTTATTTTCCTCTAAATCAGTTATTACAGTTTGGGTTCATACCAAAAGCTTCAGCTGTTTCCCAAAACAATTGCTTGGTCCAGGTAATGCAGAACTGAGAAGAAGTTAAAATACAGAGGTTTGAAGAAGTCAGAATCAGCACTGGGATCTGGATTCAAGCATTCTACTTAACAGATAATTGCAATGACTGAGGTAGAACATTCAGACTTAAATCCAAGCCCTCTAATATGCTTTGTCTGGGATATGGAAGGCATCTTCCTTTATTAGGTTACTTTCCTGCTCAACATTAACATTTTGTGCTTTGAAGGTTTATTGTGTTGGCTGGAGTTATACCTTTATATACACACAGTCCCTATGGAATAGCCTGGTCTCCTTTCATCATTATTAGTAATTCTAGGCTTGTCATTTCCTATCCATGCAGTCTGGACCTCACCACATTGTTGCAGGATGGTTGATACGGTGCACAGGAAATGTTCTGTTTTTTCAGGTCTCCACTGTTCCTAAGTATTCTTTTCAGGGGCTTCAGCTTTATTGCCATGAAGTCCATTTCCTACATGTAGTACAATTTACTAAATTACAAATAAACAAGGCACCCATAGAGAAGTCAGTGAAAGTTCACACTAAGAATAGAACTTAAAGAGAAAAGTTCAGTTATGTGACCTTCTTCAGGAGCTGGATACAAAATAGACCTGCTGTTTTTCCCGTTAATTTCCAGTCCAGGCAGAAAAGAACTTGAACAGTTCCCAGAGAAACCCAGGCCCTTCTGTTTGTTTCTATGAATCCTCCAGAAATGCTTTATCTGTTGACATCCTGACTATGCTGATACGGAAATGAACTTACTTGGCCTCCTCATTTCCCCCCTATATTGTCAGCTGACTTTGTCGTTGATCTCCCTCCCTGCAATGTTTAAAGATTTGCCAGCCATGGACAGAACAAAATGTTACAGATAGGTACCTTTAAAATTGCCCATTAAAGAAAATTGGGATCATCAGATGAAAAATCTAATGTATCAGTCACTGCTTATTATCACCCTTCAGAAACATGTTTGGGAAAGAAAAGTAATTTCCCTGAAACTTTTTTGGTTAAAAAGGGGGAATTGGAGAGAAAGAATCGCATGTCTCCAAATGCCTTGATGAAACCAGACTACCCCTGCACACTTTCTGCCTAAAGTTAAATATTAGACACTCTCTCCCTGACATTCTTTTTTTTTTTTTTTTAATTTAGTCTAAAAGGCTTAATATTTAACTCAAAATACCTAACAACTGCAAATGCTAAGTGCTGAAAGTTGTTACATCCTCCAGCAGATACATAAAGCAGTGCTTAAACTCAGTGGGATATATTTAGAGAAGTGTAGCCATCCCTGGACTTCGTGTTCTACTCGAATGAGAAATCTGGTTGCTATGTTGTGAACTTCTGTGTGTTTTGAAGCAGAAGGCATGGCCCAGTGGTTCAGTGGGAAAATCTGCTTTAAACAGGGTGTCTGCCTTGGAGCTGCAGAAGGAAATGGCCTTTATTTGGTGCACTTTTATTTTGTCCCAGATCAAGGTCTTAATTGGTTCAATCCTTTATCTGACATTAAGTCTGGTTTTGGGATGGATTTCCAATTATAATGGGCCTCAAAATCCATGTTAAACTCAAAGTTAATTATTACTGGCTTCTGTTCAGAGTTTTACTGCAACTTTAGCGGACACACACATATCCCTGAGAACCACTGCCTTTTTATGACTTATTTCCAAGCCTTTTTGTTGGACAGGTACCACTAGAAAAAGCCCCTAAAGATGTTCTGCTTTTATACGAGTTATGTCTGAAGCTCAAGAGCTGGTCCAGAAGTGGCAAGTAGCCAGGAATGGCCTCATCCCCTCAACATCCCATCGGCAGGACCGATGGAACCAGGGCTGGTGATCTTTTTCCTTTCCTTCTTTTTCTTTCTTTCCTCTTCTCCTCTTCTCTTTTTCCCCCTTTTTCTCTCTTTCTACTCTGTGTTCATAGAGGGGCCAACAGAACGGATTTCCACGCCAAGTGACTTTTTGTGGACTCTCCGACTTTGTGGTTCTTTTCCACCATGACCATTTACAAGTCCTGAGCTCTCCCTGTCCCTTTGTGGCCGCACTCGCTCCCGGAGCGGCAGAGCCCGGCAATGGCTCCCCCCCCCCGTCCCCCGTCCCTCAGGGACCGTCCCGCCAAAACCCGTGAGGGGAGCGGGGCGTGGCCGACGGGGCCGCCCGGGGCAAAGTGCAGGGGCCCACCGAGCCTCTGAGGGGCTGCGCGCGCTCGGCCTCCGCCATGGCGGCAGAGCTGGAGTCGCTGGAGCTGTGCCTGGAGCGGCACATCCCGCCCGGGGAGCTCGCCGAGGTGAAGCGGATCCTCTATGGGGGCGAGGCCAGGTGCGCCACCAGGACGGGCTCGCCCCTCGCTCTGCCGGTTTCCGTCCCTCCTCTCGTCGGGCTCCGCGGGGATGCCCAGCCCCGGTGTGAGGGGAAGGAGGCAACGTGAGGGCGGGTGTGCGAGACACAGGGCTGGGCTGAGGGGAAAAAGGAAAAATAGGGCTTGTGGTGCTGCAGTGAGGTGACTGGGGTATTTTGGAGGTGATCCAGGTGTGGGGAGCAGGGCAGTGTGAGGAGATGACGGACAGGGATGGAAGACATGACGGGAATAGTGAGCCTGAAAAGTAGGGATTAAATTTGAGGGAAAGACATGGGAGGGAAAGTGTTTGTAATCCAGCTATGGCAGGTGGAAGTTTGCGTGTGTGCTCCTTGATTTCTGCAGCAAGGTGTTAATGCCGGGGAATGACAGGAGGGCAGTGGGCAATGGGTGATGTGAACAGTGGGATCAACCCAGGAGCTGGACTCTGCCTGTGCCTGGCTGACATGGTGACATTGGTGACGTGGGGCATGGGAGCTTGGGCGTCTCTGCAGGGTAAGGCAGAATTGTCATCTCCTTGGTCCATTGCATTCAGAACAGAAAAAGAGAACGTCTCATCTTGAAATGTCTTTGCTTCCTGTTCAATCCAGAAAACTCGATTTGCCAACTGCTGCGCTGTCAGCAGCTCAGGAAAGAGATTTTGAACTACAGGGCTATGGATTTGAAGCTGCTTTGGAGCAATTGAGAAGGCCACGTATTGTTCGAGTGGGACTGATACAGAATAAAATTCCTCTTCCCACAGACACAGCAGTGGCAGTCCAGGTACACAGACTGGGACTGGGGCTGTTTCTATCTCCTCTTCTGCTGGATTGAGACATAAGACAGTTCAGTTGTTGCTTTTAGGAACTTACCATGAAATGTCTAATGATTGTCTGGCAGTACAGGACTCACCACTACTGGAGTAAAGCATTCTGTAAGAAATTTGAGTGACACATTTAGTTTTATTGTTTCTCAGAAACACCTCTTGTATTTACCTAGCACGCCCAACCTGCTTGCAGTTTTTCCAAAGCTAAATATTAGTAGCTCATTTTACACATGAAAATCCTTTGCCTCTAAAATGAAACACAAAATCATTTACACAAAATCAAAAGGGATGGCAACCAGTGGAAACCACAGGTGCAGTTCTTGTTTTAATTGAGAAATGTTCCATTACGGGAAAATCCATTAGAGGAAACAGATTAATAAAGCTGTGTTCATTATTCTTTGTAGAGCAGTGAGTGAAATCTTATTACAAGATAACATGGTTTAGTGGTGACTTGGCAGTGCTGGGTTAATGGCTGGACTTGGTTGATGATCTTAGAGGTCTATTCCAACATTAATTATTCTGAAACCATCATCTCTAAACATCTTGGACACAGCAGCACTGAAGTGACAAATCTGTATGGAAATAGTCTCCTGAGAGTAGCTTTAAAAAAGGGAAAGAAAATGCTGCATTTATAAAATCTGGAGCAGTAGTTCTGTACAGTGACAGGACAGAACATTTCTGAAGTAGTTTGATTTGGAAAGATTACCTGTCACAGATGCAAGTCATTAATTCAGTGAACAGATCAAGTTTGTGGATCCTTTATAACAGCTGTTGAATAAAGTACCAGCTGTATTAATGATTTTATTAATTACTAGCTAACATTTTCTGTAAATCAATATACAATTTTTGATTTCATAGGTCACTGAAGTCTTGTCTTTATTAATTTTTTTGAAACCTGAAAGTAGCAATGCAAAGTATTATGCCTATGCTTATCTTTACATAGAATACTCTAGAAAACGAATTAATAAACACATTGATCATCTTTCTTGGTAATAATTGCCTAGCTGTTAGGACAGAGGGCTTAACATCTTCCTGTAGGTTGTTTACAATGAGCAGCATAATTATATTTTTTGTTAATTCTGTTTGGATTTTCAGCTTTTTGCAAGTCAGGCAGCACTGAATTTCCAGCTATATAAATGTTGCAACAATGGAAATAGAATCCCATGGATTCTTGGAATGTTTTCTCTATTTTCAACATCTAAATGCTTTTAAAAATCTGTATCTGACTGTATCATCAGTGTTCAGGGATGATACCTGGAGTTACTGCCCCTGAAAGCAGTGGCTCTAAGAACAGAACAGGATAAGCTCAGAGTGAGCACAGGCTGTGAAGCCAGGCAGTTGCCCCCGAGGTGAGTTGCAGCAGGTGCCTTTTAATGGTGTGACATTTCTCCCCTCAGGTGGCTGCTCTGCACAGACGCATCGAGGAGATGGTGGGAGTGGCTGCCATGTGTGGGGTCAACATTGTGTGTTTCCAGGAGGCTTGGAGTGAGTATTGGCTGTGGCTCCCTCTGGGCTCTCACCTCTCAAGTGCTCTCTGGTTTAACAGCTGGCCTGTAAATGAGCAGTAGAAATCTTCCAAGATACAACAATTGACTGCAGAGATTTGCTTCCTAAAGGAAAAACCAAAGAGTCTGAGGTAGCAGAACTGTATGGAGGAGCTATGAGGGCTCTGTTGTATTGAAGACTGCCATATGGTATTTGGAGCTCCTTCATGGCATCCTTTATGACCCTTTCCTCATTTTTTTTTTCTCCTAAAACTTTGGGGTTTTTTTCTAGACAGGTATTAAAATTGAAAAATCTGTTTTTAATTTACATGATGTGTTTGGGGCTTAATTGAAGCAAACCCCTTCACTTTCATGGCCCATGAAATGTTTGTGAGAACAGGTTGTTCACACTTACACCAGTGACTGGGGTTTATTGTCTTTTTACCCCTGCTGAGACTTCACTAAATGCATCCATTCTTTTCAGGTTTGCCTTGTGTGAGCTCAAAACTCCTTGCCCTGGCTAAAAATGTTTTTAAATAGCTTTTGCCTTTAACAGTTGAAGGAAAACAGTTGACTCATTAATTGCTTAATTTTTTATCTGTATTCATGCAAATATAATATATTTCTTGAGTGACATGAACATTTTTTTACATTTTGCCCTGCTTTGGTGTTTTCCAGCCATGCCCTTTGCTTTTTGTACAAGAGAGAAACTTCCTTGGACTGAATTTGCTGAGTCAGCAGAGGATGGGCCAACAACCAAGTTCTGTCAAGAGGTAAAAAACCAAGCAAGCAAGCAAAAAAAAAGACCAAGCAAAAAAAAGACCAAAAAAAAAGACCATCATTTGAAGGAAAAGACAATATATCAGTGAACTGGCAGGCAGAATTTGCTGTATTTCTGACTTGCACCTGTGTTGTTTAACATTTCTAGTTAACATGTAATGCTGTTTTACCTTTTCTTTGAATTAACTGTTTTCAGCTGGCTGGGGTGCTGCAGGCTGGTGTCTAACAGAGGAACTGTGTTCATTTGTGCAGCTTGCAAAGAAGTACAACATGGTTGTGGTGTCTCCAATCCTGGAGCGAGATGAACTGCATGGTGGAATTCTCTGGAATACTGCAGTGGTCATTTCTAATTCTGGAGCACTCCTTGGCAAAAGTAGGAAAAATCACATTCCAAGGGTTGGAGATTTCAATGAGGTAAGGTGCAGTGTTGTGACAATCAGGTCAGTCTTACCTTGCAGCTCCTGTTTGTGCAGCATGTGTTGTGTCAGGAAATGCAATGTGTTCCTAGAAAATGTGTTCACTTGCTGTTGAATCAGTTTTTCTGAGGTGAAGTGATAGTTAATTTATCATGAAGGAATAATTTTTTTGAGAGTGATGAGTCTTAAAGGAAGAATAACATTGAATCTTGTTAGGTACTCTTCCTTGGCCCAGTGAAACTTCAAAAGAATCAAGTATCCTTTAAAAGGATTGTTGAAGTTACAGCTGTGTTATGTTTGTTGTGCATGATTGGCTTGGGTAGTTTTGCCATGTGTGCACATTGAACTTACTTTAATTTGCAGGGCAATTGTTTCATGGTTCAAGCATGAACATTCCTTGCAGCCTTTCTGTTTCTCTCTGAGGTTGTCTTGGAAATGACAATTCTTTTGCTTGTGCTTATTCGAGCAGAATCCCTTAATTCATTGTGCCTCTGAGTGAGTGGCTGGTTTATGGCATCTTCTGTTTACTAATGGCATTATTGCAGCTGAAGCCCCCAGCAGGTTTTGGGCCATCCTCCAGAATCAGAAACTGAACTGGCAGTAAAGGCAGTGACTGTAGATCTGAAATGTGTTTATCCATCCAAACAATTGTCACGAGCAGAAAGATCAGGATTAAAAATTAACTGAAGTCTAAAAATACATTGTCTTACCTAACTAAATCTCTCCTTGTCAGCTCAAGTGAGTAATTAACAGAGGCATTTCTGCTAAGCACTGGAGGCTGCTGTAAACCTGCAGTAGCTTTTGTTCCCTGTCTGACTGCTCCAGTCGTCAAACTGGGGTGTCAGAACTTTTTTATTAATGTAAAAAGTTCTTTTGGGTCTCAAAACCTTGTGTTCAAAGACTCTGGAAGTTTTGACCTTGCTCCCAGACCTGATCAGGCTGGTTTGAGTTTCTCCAGAGGAGGCTGTTAATGGAGTTCTACACAATGAATTTCTGGCACAGCCTGTCAGTCACCAGTCTTACCTTGTATTTTTAACACTTACTCTGATATTTAGTATTATTTTATCAGGTCTAGCAAAAGTAGTAATTAACAAATCCATTGGTTACTTTCCACGTTTTTTAATTTGTTCTTTATGTAATCTAACAAAAAATAAATTCCTGTTGCTTGTGCTAAAATATGTCTTTCAGTTTTCCTGACAGTGTTTAGTGAAGAATCAACAGATTCCAAGATTCTCATTGTTTCCAGCTATGAAACTGTAATGAGAGACACCTAAAAAAAGAAAGAATTTTTACTTTCTCATGTGAAGTATAAATAGAGTTTCACTAAGAGTTTTGTTGCTAAAAGAAGTTAGTTCATAGAATCCTAAATGCCAGAATTACTACAAAACTGTCTGTTTATAGTTTCCAGATATACTGTAATGATCTGGCATTTCTTGTATCTACTTGTTAGAGAATCAAATGGTGCTTGCCCAAGACAGCACTGTCCTCAGCTGGCTTTGGTAGCAAAGCATTAAGTCCACTCTTCTGAGCTGAGCAATTCTGATAAAGCAACTTCAGAAACCACCCAGGCTACAGGAAGGGATTATATTCATCTGTGTTACTTTAATGTTGTTTTCTTTATCAACAAAGTTAAACCTCAAGGAAATATTGAATTTGAAATTGTTTCTTGTGGGTTGTCTCTGTAGGGCAGATGGGAAAGGAGCCTTGTTAAAATCATGCCCATTGAATCAGTAAGAACTAAATGGAAAGGGCACAGAGGTTGCTCTGTGGCCTATTCAGCCATGTGTGGGAGGCCTTATAAACAAAAATCAGTCCTTGAGACATCACAGTTTATTGCTGTGGAGAGGATTTTGACCTCTGGTGTGAAATAAAGAAATAGGAACTGATGAATTCCCTGAAGCAACAGCATTCTTGTTTTTCTTCTGCTGTTGTAAGAAAAGAAACTGAGAATAGGATAAAAAATGGAAATATATTCATTCAGCAGAATTGTTTTGAAAAAGACTTGTGTGAGCACCCACCATGTGGTCTGCTGTCTACAGACATGAAAGGAGATCAGATCACTACCAAGGGACTGTGCAATTTCATGAGAACTGATAATAAACAAGAAACATGAGGTAAATATTTTACTGCACATACTGAACCTGTAGCCCTTGGTTTCAGAGGGTGATCCCTGTATCTCTCATGCCACTGGCCCACACTTACTGGAGGCCCAGGTTTGTTCCCCAGCTGCACCTGCTTGCTTTAGGCCTCAGGTGTTTCCACTTGCTCCAGCACCAATGGCAGTGGTGGTTACAAGAACAGATAATTTCAATAAAGAGGGGTCTGCTTTACAGCACACCTTCCTTCTGGGATGAGACACGAGTCCTGGAGGCTCAGGGTGCTGGACTGTGTCCCTTGCTCTTCTGTCTCACATCAGCACCAAAGGATGCTGTCAGGAACCAGCCTGGCCACTGCAGCTTCTGTGCTCCCTTGGGATCCTCAGTGTTGTGGAAGGAATGTCGGGTGCCAGGTTTTGTCTCCTTATCTGTGGATCTGTATCACTGTCTTTGTCCCTGTCTGAACCTGGTGATGGTACTCACAGAAAGCAGCACATTTTGGAAGTTCACTGCCTGCTGCATAAAAGAAGTTCCTTTGCTTGAAAGCAGTGTAAGAGTGTAATTCAGTGAATACACACTCCTGCTGCTGCCTTGGCATTTCTGTATCCATCTTTTCCACTGCCTAAGTGATGTTGTAAATCTCATCATATTATCCTCAGCCTTCCATCTACAGATTAAAAAGCTTTTTTAGTTGGAGGTAATTCTTTACACTTTTTAAAGAAGTCTGCCTTTATGGGTTTTGTTGTTTGATTGGACTTTTTCCTTTGTTTTTCCTTTTGTTTGTTTGTAGTCTACTTACTATATGGAAGGAAATACAGGACACCCAGTGTTTCAGACCCAGTTTGGGACAATTGCTGTGAACATCTGCTACGGGCGCCACCACCCTCTGAACTGGCTCATGTATAGCATGAATGGAGCAGAGATCATCTTTAACCCTTCAGCCACTATAGGGGCACTCAGGTAAAACACAAACTGATCTGTGCCATTGCTCCCTTTCTGGGTTAGCTGAACTTCTGAGCCCCTCACTGGGGCCTAAAAGGCACCTTGCTGAGCTCTTGGAAGTGTAGTCTCCTTGTTTTGTCTTCAGAAAGGAGCCTGCATTCTCCTCCACCAGGAATTGTGGCCTTCCAGTCTCCTCCCAGTAACTGATTCTCTTTGAGAGCTTTATTGTACATCAGCAGCTCTCCTGTCTTTGAGACAGCATTCACCAGCATCCAGCTGGTGCTCTGAAAACTGAGAGTTTATTTTGATTTTTTATGTAATATTTTTTGCTATATAGTAGGTAGTGGTCATGTTCAGGCTTATTGTACCAGCTTGCATTGTCCACCTAAGGAGCGTGGTATGAAATTGCAGTTTTCAGAGCCAAGCTGAGATACCCTTTTCTCAGAATTTTTTTAAACTGTTGGCAGTTTTATGATTATCAGGCCTCTTGAACCAGAGTGGACCAGTGTAAAGTGTCCCTTGAGATTAATCTTCTGCACATTAACACTAATTGCACTCGAGTGACTTGATTTCCTGGAAGCTGGCTGTGGCTGCTAGGCCAGAAAGCGTGCAGTGGGAGGCAGTGAGGGTGCAGGTGTAGCCCTGCAGGGTCAGTCAATGAACACTTTTCTCTCTGTGTGTGTTGCAGCGAGGCGCTGTGGCCCATCGAAGCCAGGAACGCTGCCATAGCCAATCACTGCTTCACGTGCCCCATCAACAGAGTGGGAACGGTTTGTATCCTCCTGGCTTCACTCATTCCATCGTTCAGGCCTGCCTTGAGCAGGGCTTTGTTCAGGGCAGGGACTGAGAGCACTGGGATGCATGGGTTCCCTTCCTGGGTAACCACTGTCCTGGGGTTTGTGATGTGACTTGAGGATGGACAGTGATGAAGAGATTGAGAGCTGCCTCTGTTGCTGGCAGCCTACTTTTGGTTGCAGCTGTTTCCTGTTCTTGAATTGAATCTTTGTAATAGGCACCCACCCTTTTGCTAAGTCTCCCAGTTTCTCTGCTATTCTTTTAGCAAAAATGAGTGAAAAATTAATGCATCCTTAAGTCAGTGGTACACAACTTGTGGCTGTTTTACAGCTAATATCTCTTTCTAGACTGTAAAATTCTATAATGAAATTTAATAGTGCATGCAATAAGTCATTCTTACCTTCAGACTAGTCCAATTACACTATGTGTATATTTTTAAAATTAGATTCCCTGCAAAAATATTGTCCTTGCTGCTATGTGAATATGTTTGCCTTTTTTTGTGATCTGAAAAGATGTTTGGTTAAATATCTCCTCTTTTGCCTCTTTAAACTTGTGAAATGGATACAAGGCATGTCCCTAAAGTGTATGAGCAACAGGCAGTGATACAAAAAGACCTTGTGTTCTATGCTATCCATCACAGAAACTAGGCCCCTCTGATGACTCCCTTTAGACAGTGCTGATTGTGTGCCAGAAAAAAATATTTGTAGATTTATATAAACTCCCAAAATATGATAGACTAGCAAGGATTTCTCGAATGAAACGGAATTATACTGCCACCTATGGATTCCTCTTATTTCACAGGAATACTACAAGAATGCCTTTACTTCTGGAGATGGTGGAAAAGGTAAGCTCAGAAATCACATTCCCTACCAGTTCCCAGATTTGCTGGAAGTTAAAGAGAATTATCAATGAGGAGTATGAGATTTTCTTGTATGTACTTACATGTTGAAACACAGTAATTTGTGCTGTGAAAGCTGTGGCTCCATCCAGAGTGTGCCTGAGCCTTTCTTAGCCAGTTCTGGAGCAAAGTGTTCTTAGCAGCTGCATGAGAAAGGTCAGTGGAATCCATGGCTTAGTAGTACAACAAATGGGATTGATTTTTGGCACAACTCAAGAGTTGTGCAATATGAAATAACATCTTTTCTGTGTCTCAAATCCCAGCGTTTTCACCTCTGACCTTTTATTGAAAATAGAATGGGTGTATCTCTGTCAGCTGTTTTGAAAATGTATAATTTGACAATTAGAATTCATTTAAATGCAAAGTAAAAAGCAATGATGGGAATAAGTAATGGGAATTAATAATGAGAAAGCATAATGGTGCATTATTTGAAAAGCAATGCAGGGAGATTTTCCTGATAACTTCATGGTGTTCTGTGCATCAAAATTATAACTGGCCAAAACTGGAGTTATTTTAGGATCGTGCTGTGACTCTTCAGGATGATTATCTTGCCTAAAGCACAGTGAGTCCCCAAGAAATGGAGTCAGGTTTGGTGGGACCCTGCATGTTAAGTTACCAACCTATTTGCAGATGGCAATTTATGCTTTTTAAAAATCTCTCTCAGCACACCACGAGCTGGGCCATTTCTATGGCTCGAGTTACGTGGCTGCGCCGGACGGCAGCAGGACCCCGGGGCTGTCTCGCACTCAGGACGGGCTGCTGGTGGCAGAGATGGACCTAAACCTCTGCAGGCAAGTCAGTGACAAGTGGAATTTTAAGGTAAGCCTGACTATAAAAGAAATACAATACTAGAACAAACAAGCTTTGATAATGATTCTGTGTGGTTGTGGGTTTCTCTGGGTCTGGATTGAAGGCACTCGAGACAGTGTTTCATGTTTGGACTCAAGTGTTTATTATTTCTTATCAGTAAAGCAGTCTCACTACTTTTCTTTGGAAGCTTTTCATTAGAAGGCACAAAATGACCAACAATCTCTTGTTACAAGGTCTTTTAAGACTAAACTATCCAATTAAGAGCTGACACCTGGATTATTTTCCCTTTTACTCCAATAACTGATCCCAAAGAGCCCACAATGGGGACTTTTCTGCCCAATTACAAAATGCCACCCAAACCCATAAGGAAGAAGAAGCATGAAGAAGAAACCCAGGACAACACCCTGTCCCCTCCACCTTGCTTCCATCCACAACACACTAAAAATCCTAAACCCTCAATTTCTCACCCAGTGACACACCTGCACTGCTCTCTATAATCTGTTTCACACTTTTGTGGATTCCAGTCTATCTTGAAGTCTGGGAAGCTTTCTCCTTGAATGAGGGTCAAAGTCAGTGCTGCCCTGGGGTCAGGGCACCCCAGAGCAGACACAGAAATATTCCCAGTGCCCTGGGTTTCCACAATTCTATGATGTTACAATAGTTAAAAGGCAGCCTCTCTTTTTTATTTTTTAGCAATTCAGAGTTTAAATTGTTGAAGCAATTTAACAGGATGTTATGGAGGCCAAAAGCATAAATAGATTTGGAAAAGGAGTAGCTAAATTCAGGGAAAGTAGGCCAGTAGCTTTCAGATGAAAACCCCAGCCTCAGGACCTCACTGTGGATTGGCAGCAGCTCTGAGGATCGCTGGGGAAGAGTTTTGCTTTCCTTATGCAGGGAGTGCAGCCATTTGTGCTGAGCTGAGCCAGGCTCATTGCCTCTACCTAACATGGTATATATTCTTAATTGTCAGTTTGGGTGAAATGTAGTGAAAACCCAAACCCACAAGCTTGAGAACTTTCTGAAGGCAAAATTCTTGCAAGGTTAACTTCCTGAATTTGTGGATATGTTGAAACTACAGAGAAAGAACTGTGTACTGTATATATTCATCTCTGAAACATCTTAACACACGTTTGAATTTATCTAAATCAGATTAAGATAGCTGCAAGCCACTCCATATGGCTTTAACAAACCTTATTTATTACTATTTTTTTGTATTCTGAGGTAAAGCTAATTTGGTTCATCTTTCCAGAGGGCATAATTGGATTTAATTTGTCCAGCAGCAGTGCTGGTTGAAGAAATGGCTGCTTCAGCACAGCAGCTTGCTAACCCTTCAGTTGTGCCACTCCAAGCTGTGTGGGGTGCTGTATTAGATACTGATTTAGTGGAGTAAGCAGATAATTATTTTTTAAACAAATGATTCTCCTTTTTTATTCTGATCAAGTTTACAACAGGCCACACAAAGATCCTGTTGGAACAAAAAAAGAAAAATAGTGGCAACTCTGGAAATAGGCTTTGTTGATGAAGAAAACATCTTGTTTGCTTTTATGGAGACAGGTCTTTTGTTCCAGTTCTCAGTTCTGCTAAAGACTAGAAGTTTTCCTTTTCACTCTTAAGATCAGCATGATTTGAATCCTAACAAAATAGACCAGAACTCCTGGCTAGCAGCTGTACAATATATGTAGGTTCTTCAGGGATCACCTGGTATTTAAAATAAGTAATCATTTGCAAGGAGTGTCAGTTTTTGAGCATCATGCTACTGCAAACAGACATTTATTTTATAGAGCTGCTTTATTTGCCTGTTGTTCATTACAGTGTGGTGCAATACTCAATGTGTTTTGATGTCAGTTTGACATAAAAATGAAAAATCTCTGTGGATTTGAAATGCTAAATAAGCTTTATAATGAAAAAATAGTAATTTCCTATCTACAGCACAATTTCTTTGCTAATATTGCTAATCCATACAGAGGGACTAAAACCAAGAAGTAATTTCAGGTCATCTTCTGGAACAGAATTGCATTTGTTATTTTACAGATGCCTGTGGTAGGCATGTGGTTGTTGCCATAATGGAATTAAGTTGTGCTGAAGGATTCTTAGCTCTCCACATCAGGCACGCATTTGGTTCTGCTTTGCCACGGCTCTGAGCCCCTTAGTGCAGAGCAGAGGCTTGGAGTGTCAGGCAGCACATGGAGCATTGCTCTACCCCTTAGCAGGGCTATCTGAACAAAAGCAATTGGACTGATTAGGAAAGACAAACAGTAAAAGCAAAACACTGCCCTTTGGCTGATTTGTGTAGAATTGTGTAGTTTTTGTTGTCTTCAACTCCTGTGCTTTCAGCACCTTTATTTCATGTTGATGGTGTGGAGTGCTATTGTTGGGTTTTGGCACTTAAGGCACAGCTGTGGTTTTGTTTATGTGACAGGGGAGAGCTGTTTCCTTTTCCTCTCACTTGTGGCCAAGACAGAGGTGGTTCTTGCTGAGGGGAATGAGGAACAGTGGTCACAGGTTTTCTCACCCTCTTTAACAGCAAGTGGGAGCTGCATTAACCTGCTCTGGTATCTGCAGTTTGCACCCAGTGGTGCCTGAAAGGGACATTCAGTAGAATGTCTTTGCTAAACTTAGAGCAGCAAAGGGGTGGAACCAATTAAATCAAGTGATTTGCCCAAATATTGTGGGTTGTGCACTCAGAGGAGGACAATGGCACCACATCAGGTGCTGTATTGCAGCACTTCCAGCACTTGCTCTGTGGCCCAAACCACAGCTATTTTGTATTATTAATGGGTGAAATAAGAGTAACCCCAACAATGTCAGTGGCATAGATGCAAACTTACTGCTGGCAGCAGGGTTCTTTGTTGTCAAGGACATGACATGAAGCCCTAATTACAGACACTCCTCTGCCTTCACTGACATAACTTAAAAAATTGTCAATGCATAAGAAAGCAAGTCCACCTTTCACATTCAGCTTTCAGCTGTCCAGAACAGCTATAGTAAGTAGGAAGTCAGTGGACATGACTGTCACTGAAGGAGAGCTGCAAAACAGGAAGGTGTTCATTTAAAAGTTGGACTTTTCAGGGTGGAACTACACTTCTTTTTGGGATAGAAATACAGTCCTAGGCAACATAATATGAGTTCTCTCATTAAAAAAAGTTTTCATAAAAAAAGTTTTTATTAAAAAAAGTTTGTGCTAAGGCACTGGAGATACTGATTTTGAGGGAATTATGGTTTTGATGTTTGGGACAATTAAATCATACATTGTCATAGGAAAAACCAAACAGTAGATATAAATATTTTCTACTGAAATACTTCTGTAGCTTACTTGAAAGAACTGAAGCTTTGGTTTTTCTTTTCCAGATGACTGGTAGATATGAAATGTATGCAGAAAAGCTTGCTGAAGCAATCCAGCCTTTCTTTATACCCAATATCATCAAAGAGTAAGAGAGAGCATCTCATTACACTCAAATGTTACAAGCCAAATTCCAAGTTACTGTTGGGTTATAGCTTTCCTGTGTTGCTGTTTTAATGTTGTCAGTTTAATTTCATGTAACCAATTTTAAATAATAGGAGTCAGAACTGTGTTACGTAAAATAATTGAAATGGCTTCTTCAGTGTTTGTCATTTACACTAATGAGTCTAAAGTTGTTCCTTGCTGGAAATACCTCCAGTGTTTTTCTAGAGTAGATAGACATACAGTGTACTGTGGTAGAGTTGATGGGATGAATTCAGAGGACATGAAAATTTTTATGTTTTTAAGCTTTGCATTGTACATCTGTTTCTGCTTTCTGGTTTTTACCCTCTGCCCAAATGCATAATTTACAGAGAAATGAGGCAGAAATTGTTTTCATCTGGGTTTTGTTTGCTTTTTCTGCTTACAAACTACTTGATGCAGTTCAGGTACAGCTGAGTCATGTACCAAACATCCCAGCTGGGTGAAGGGCTGTGGGTGCTGTAAAGCAGGACTGCTTTGGGTCTGTTGCCTTTACACAACCACAGCTGGAGCTGTCTTTGCAGGGCCCCTTCTAGGTGCAGAAGTCTTGCTCAGGGAGATGCTTTGGTATCTTCTGAAGCTCAGTGCCCTGAAGGGAAGCAGAAATAGAGACCCTGGCCAGTGCACAGGCAAGGCTGGGGCAGTTGCCTGCTTTTCACTGTGAACACAAAGCTCAGGATGGGGAAGGAAGACTCCTTCCCTGGGGCTGCACTCCAGTAGGATGTGGTGGCTGCAGAGTACACAAACCAGCTCTGGACTAAAGGTACCAATGCTACATTTGCTGTTCTTAGGTAGTACTGAAACTTTAGTAGTATATTCAGTATTCTTAGCTAGTATTCTGAAATTTTGCTTGATATGATTTGGGTGATGGCAATGGGTGTTCAGGCAATGCAGACTGAATACAATTTACAGCCCAGCAACTATGAAATTGTAGCTAGTAATAGTAAGAAATATTTGAACTCTTGTTTTTGTTTTTCTGAATTACAATTTCAGCTTTTCAAAACCATTATTTCTAACAAACTTGTTAATAAATGCACTTGCTACGTTATGTTACCAGGTTATTTGTGAGCTTCACCTTTATTGAGAATGGCTTAATTACAAATAAAAATATATTTATGTATAAAATCCCTGCATGTAAAATCCCCTTCCTTTGCTATTGACATCCTGACAGAAACAAAGCAACAGAACATTTTCAGTGTTTTGATAGACAATCTTGTAATAGGAAACAAAGTTTCAGAAAATGCAGGTGTTCTGGATGCTTGTGCAGATGCTTTTTCAGTTGAATTTGTGTCACATACTCAGTCTTTTCACTGGGCTTTTGCTTCTCCCTTGTGTTTCCATCTCTCACAGCCATCATCTTCCATTTGGCAGCTGTATGAGATCCTGCTGTCAGTGGACCTCTCCTTTTGTCTGCACTAGCTGAGACAGCTTTGTTTATCTTTCACTTTTGTTGAAGCATTGAAACCCTGGGTACCCAACACTTACCTGTCAGTATTGTTACACCTCTGTGTGCACTTCAGCACACTCAGCCTGCCCTTCAGTTCACGTTTTCTTTACACCCAGGATTCACTTTTGGCAGTGGAAACAGTAAGATGCTGAATGCCAATGACAAGCCTTTGTAAGAATTGGTTTTATTCAACTAATCAAGCCTGCTCTAAGATAAATCCTGTGGCAGTTTAATGGTATTGAATGAACTACCTACCTGAAAATGCATGGGTTAAGGGGGTACTCTAACAGCCTGTAGCTTCCATACCTGTTAATTATTAACAGAGCTAATACACTCTCTCAAAATCAAACATCATGATTTTGGCCCTGGACATAAAAATTCCCAGACCAGGAGTCTTGTGGTTGTTCACTTTGGAGAGTTGAAAGGCATTACCTACAACAGGTTTGGTACCTTTCTTCTGGAAGGATTCTGCTGCTGGCACTGATGGACCAGTTCTCCACAAATCACATCCTCCCTGTTGCTCATCACTGCCAGAATGTATTTAAACTTCACCAATGATAATCAAAACTTGACACACAAAGCTTCCTGTCCCACACTTTTGTTTGGGTTTTTTTAAGGGTTACTGCATTTTAGATGTTCTGTTACTATTTTTTGCCTTTGTAGAAAGGAGCACTCTTGCCTCTACTAAGTACTTAGTCAACACTGTGTACTTTTCAGTTAGTCAACAACTGATACATTTTTTTACCAAGATAAACATTTTCTTTTTCTATGCTGAAAGGAGAATTCCTATTTATTATATCCACACAGTTTCAGAACTTGAACAGTTCTTTTCCTAAAACCATGCCAGAGCTGTGGGACCTCTGTCTTCAGTGCAAATTTTCCCAGTTTTATGTCAGTGCTGATTTTCCTACTCACGTTCATATAGGCAGGACTGAAGATTGAGACTTGGAAGAAATTAGGATGGATGAAGCTGAAATAAGTGGTTTTTTTCTTACACTTCAGAGTGCTCCTCAGGTACCAGAGGAAAGGGCTGTGAATGGGTGTTACCAATTTCACTTAATGTCTCTATATAGCAACAACTTAATCCACATACAGCTGCAGTATAAGAGCTAGAACAATCTAAGTTCCTGCCTTTTTACTTGTAGAAGGTATGTTTGTATTTCCTCTTTCCTTAATTGATTTTAGCTCTTCTGAGAATGTCACCGAACTAATACTAACAGCAAAATTTGGCTCAAATTATAATTTAGCATTTTAGATACAATGCAGTAGATGCTGTCAGATATTTACACTTTACACACAAAATATATACCATTAGTGTGGATGATAATTTTCTGCATTTGCTCAATAAGTTTAAATATTTAGAATGTTCATATTTAGAATGGATTCTGCAGAAACTGGCACATGTGTGTGGCATAACATTCAGAGCTTTTTGCAAAGAGCAGTAAAGACTTCCAAGTGCAAATAAAATCTTTCCACTTAAAGTTCTGGAGCAATGTGGAGCTCTGAGCAGTCATCCAGGAGGATTTAGCCAAAAGAGACTGAGTTTGTAATGCAAGGGAGTAATTCCAGTATTGCAGTTGCATAAATGCTAAATCTCTGTGAATTTGGTAGATGGGAAGTTTCCTACATTGCAGACAATACTGATGAACCAGCAAGGCATTTTTTTGTTATTTAAAGATGGTTTAAATTAATAATTTTTCCTTTTACAATATCCTGCTGAACTTCAAATCCATAGGTTTTGTATGAAGACCAGCCCTTCATGCTTTGACAGAGAGAGAAACAGGTATTTTCTATTTTTTCCTTTGTTTACCTAAACCTATGCAAATATTACCAAGTGTTGAAATTCATAAATTTGGTGCTTTTTTTTCTTATGTGTTTAATTTGAAAATAAGCTGAAAGTGAACAGGCTTTGGGCCTGTATTTTAGAACTGCTGTCAGATGTGCAATTTTGAAAATTAGGGGAAGAAAAAAACCAAAGACAGATATTGCAAAATCAAAAAAACAAAAAAAAAAGGAAAAGGTAGGGACAGCATTGCAATATAGTCCTGTCAATGTCTGTAAAGCCTCCCTTGGTGGAGGTCCCACTGCAGTCCAGGAGGGAGGGAGGTGTGTGCAGGGGAGTCCTGAGACGAGCAGCCAGCTGCCCTGCAGGCTGTGCAGGAAGGAGCAGGAGTGTCTGGGTGGGTGTCAGCTGTCAGTGTAGATGAACAGAATATCTTCATCCGTGCCATAACTTGTCCTGGCTTCCTCAAAGTTACTGATGCTGGTGCAGCATGTTCCTGGAAGGAGGAACAAAAGGTTAGAAAAATGCAGGATTTGCCAGTGAAAGGTTCTTACATGGGATGTAACAGTAGTATAGAGACTACACCCAGCAGCTTAGGTTCCAGCTTTATTCAGGTAGATTTTTCCCCTTAGAGAGCTCCCTGAAGTAATGCTGCAGGCAGGTACCAAACTGGCCCTTCTGCTATATTCTGCACACAGACATTTCAGCATCTCTCACAACCCATCTGAAAGCCAGACAAGCCAATTGCTAGAATGCCTATGCGAATTCTTCAAATAAATCACATCCCAAAATGCAGCACTGATCTAATTCATGTGGCAAAACCCCTTCTGACAAATTGGGCAGTGATGCTTAAGATGCCTGTGCACTGTGAGGGGAGCTCCAGCTGTGGCTCTGTGGCTCTCGGTAGGAATGCAGTGGCTGAATCAGGGACAGGCTACTCACGGTCAGCATAGGCAGGGTTGTTGTAGTAAATACTCCCTGAGGCTTTGTTGTAGCCACATAACACAATGAAATGGCCCTGGTAGTCAGGGCTCCTGCAGAAGCACTTCTGTCCAATGGGAAGGAAGCAGCAGTATTTGACAGGACTTGAGCAAAGGTCACACAGCAGCAGGACTGCGTTCACAAGGACAATGGCGATGTGGCCCTGGGACAGGTGGTTTTGGATGTCTTGAACGGTTACTGTGCTGCAAGGAAAAAAAACCACACACTTACTGAAAGAGGCTGGTGTAAACAAAGTGCCTGATGGTGGACAGTGCAGCTGGCACTTTATAGATGCACTATAGATAAACTTCTTTATCACAGGTACAGATCTTTAGTGTTAAACCCTGCAGGCTTTGCTGTGGACAAAGCCTGACAGAACCTGTAGCATTCACAGCCTTTTCATTTTATTGCTGCTGCTGAAGTGCAGAGCAACAGCTCTGGGTTCTGCAGTAACACATTCTGAGATGACACATCAGATGCCCCAGAGAACAGAATTAAAGGAACTGGCAATTCACTCAGTAACTTGAGGGACTTCTGTTGCAGGCAAATTTTAAGTGAAATGTTCTCTCTTGCTGTTAGCAAAGCTTATCTCTGAAACACCAAATCTTTATCGAGTGAGTGGTTAAATGTTGTGTAACCACTAACCAAATTAAGATGTACCCAGATATACCTCTGTCACCCAGGACTGTCATCCTCCTAGCTGAAGTTTTGAATTGCCTCATATTTTAGGCTTTATTTCTACAGAGAGTAAGTGTTCACCAAACATCACCTATAACCTCATCTGTTGAAAGCTGTCCCTCTCTGAGGCAGATGGTGTGTTCCATATGCGTCAGAAACTCATCTCTTGGATCAGTTCCAGGCGTCTGTGCTGTGTGCACCACCTGGCTGAACTCATGTGCTTTGCATTTAATCCTTCCCCACTCTGATGCCCCAGCCCCAGTACTGCACAGGTAAATGTGCCCTCTGTCCCTGCCTTGATCAAGGCCACAGGCTAAAGACTGCAAAAGCAAGAGGGACTGCGTGTCCCTTCTGTCCTGTCACAGCTTATTATCAATTAAAGTGAAGGTGACTCCATGTGTGTTAGAAAGGACACTTGATTCTGCTAAATATAAGTTATGCTCCAGCATTCAAATGTTATTGTGGCTGCCCCATATCCTCTCTTCTTTCCTTACCCCTAATCATTTACCCCACTTTGACAGCAGGGATCCAAATCCATTCCCTATAAAAAGGGATGCAGCTCAAGTAGGATGCTTAGTCATTCCCCAATCGAATTTCACTGCTGATTATGAAGATTCTGCAGTTTTTCCATTTCTTCTGGGTTTGTAGTTCTTTCATGGAGTTCCTTATTTCATGGTCTCCTTGGCAAAAGCTCCTATGCTAACTTGTAATTTGCATGTTTGTCTGGGAACAGAGATCCATAATGTTTGTGTAGCTCTGGGAACAATGAGTTCTGTACCCACACAGCATTCTCCTTAATTCCAACAATGACCAATTAGAGTGCTGTAGGCACTCCCTACTGCCTAAGTGTAATGGATAACCAAATTCAAAACATAGTCAGCTCCTATCAGCATTTTCTTATCACTTTGCATCATGACTAATTTTTCTTCAAACTTCATTATTAGCTCTTGATGTGCATGAGGTTTTTTTGAGACAGCTATAGGAGAAAGACACTAATTGGTAAAAAAAGGCTTAGGGCTTGATTTCAGTCTCTTTCAGTGATTTAGCCTGGTGCCTCCAAGAAAAGCAGAGGCCCACAGAATCTCCAAAGAGAAAGAAAACAGCTTACCATTTCTCCACCAGCACCTTGCAGTCTTTGGCTTGTGCAAAGAGCTGATTCACTCGATTCTCTTCTGTGTCAAAGTGCTTCCTGTAAAATGACTGTGGAAATAACAGAAGTTCTGAACTGGAATGGTGTTTACCTTGGGTAATCCACCACTTAGAGTCTGCTAGCAAGAGCCTG